TTCCTTCTACTAACCACCGCCGCCGCCGCCACCGTCCTTGTTCGCGTTTCTCTGTCCCCGCGTTGCGCCGCACACACGCGCCCGTGCACCACGCACACCTCGAAACGGGATCTTAGCCCCGCTGGATCGGCTCTCCCTGCCGTGTGTGTCCTTGCCGGTTGCATCGGCGTGTACACCGCCGCCGCGGCTACCGTGGCTTTCCTAAATCCCCTCGGACATCACCCCGATTACGCAGAAGTGGAAATGCGCCGGGGAGGCACCCGGCCGCGCAGAAGTTGACCGGCTGCTCTTGAAATCGTCGGCTGAAAGAATAAACCTCGTAAGATGACGGAGGACGGGGAGAAAACTGGAAGACGTGTCGAGTAAGCAGAAGCGATAATGTTGGATGTAAATGTTACAGCGCGGCGGGATGGTTGTGCATTTGCTTTGAATCGAGTGAATGAAACTCCGTTGGGCATTGAAACTTTTGAGCGTTTGTTTTGACGGGCGAGATTCGCAGAGGGATTTTGTGAAATGAGTTTCTCTGTTGATCGAGGAACTATTTCAACCAGCTTCGAAGCGATTTGAGATTTTGGAGTACGTTGCTTTTATTGGAGCAATTAGATTTCTTTTAAATTAGGAATAATTTGAAGTATTGGAAACATCGAGCTTTGAACAATCTTTCGATAGAGAGAAGCTATTTTTGGTACACAGTCGTTGTTAATAGGAAGTGACAATTACTCATAACATTGCGAATATCCACGAATTCATAGAATCTAGATAAAAGACATGCGAATCCTTTTGTAGCTCCAAATTCTATTAAAAAAGTAGAATTTGATGACATAAATTGATTGAAAAGAATTGCAAGTCAGATGTCGGTATACAATGAATTAATCGAACAACGATTTCTTCTATTTTGTCTAAAAGTTGAAAATATTTCAAGCTAACAAAAGTAATTAAATAGTTTTGTAAAATGACTGATCGAACAAAATAATCTTATAAATTATATATAGTAGGTACAACGAGTATTTAAACTCACTGACGCAAAATTGAGGCTCTCAATTCAATCATTAATAATATCCTTAATTCCCTTGTACTATCAGTTTCAATCAAATTAAGTTACATCTTCATTCAACAGAACAAACAATGACAAATACAAATGTCCCTCTTTCTATAAAACATTTCTATTACACAAATTTCTAATTTCCATATAACAAACAATCATCGTACATATGTATAGATGTGAGAAGATCGTATTCGCGTGTTAACAGTCTCGCTATTGAGGCATCATCGTCGCTGTCCGAAATGAACGAAGAAAAAGAAAACGGAATTGACTTGTCATTTCTTGCGCGATAAATCACGGACGCTCACGGTATGTTAATTTTCATCGATAAGCATTTTCTCTGCGTTGGCTGACGTGAGTAATCGTTTTTTCCAGGATGCTCATTTTCGCAGGATCTCCGCTGTTAGCAGGCCGCTGTCGCTTCATTTTTATCACGGTCCGTCTGTTCACTATACATATTTATATCCATAGACAGGCATTACTCGCTTCCTAACGCGTTAACGACTACGATACACCGTCGCTCAAAAATATATTTACACTTTTATGACTTGTGATGTACGTATGTTGTTATTATTATCAAATTGCTAAACGACTTTACGAATGCATATATGCAAAGATTGAATTATCGCAGAAATAGCAACAGTTTGAAGTGGAAAAATCAACGTTCTTATCAATGCACTTTAAGTGTCTATGAGCAATTAAATAATTAAATAATTCAGATGTCAAAGCAATCACACGCTACATTTTAAATAACACGCTTCTTGGTATTGTTTACTTTGGATACTCCAAGCCTCCGATACTCTTGAATCTCCTTTTTACTTGGATACTCCAAGCGATTTCACTATTCTGTAACATTTTGATTCAACAAAAATTGAAGTATTCTACAAAAGCTGAAAGTCATATTTATCCGCGTTAAAAAGATTGCAGCTTTTCTTCAGTAATTACACGTGAAAAAATAAATTTGCCAACTTTACATATTTTTCCACGGTTCAGAATGGTTTAGATCTTTCTCAAGACAGATGTGAATTAAAAAAAAAAAAAAAAAATGTTCATATATTTTTGAGTAGCAGTATAACGTCGCTGCGTTGTGTCATGGCCGCGTATATAGAAGCAGGTGAACGAAGGCCGACCGAGCGCGCTGTTTTTCTCGGTTTACTTTACGGTTCTTTGAATGTCGTTCTTCTTCCGTTTATTGTTGCGTTTCGTTCATACGCGTTGACCCGCTTAGCGCGCGGCGTTTTTAGTTACGCGCCGGGACTCGCGCGATACCGCACGCGGATATTACAGGAACGACGAAGCACACAGCCGCGGAGACTCCTTTCACTGGAGTCTACCAGTCATCGAAAAGAGATTAAGGATGTTCTATTATTAGAAGATTCTGCATTTTGTTCAGCCGTGTCTATTATCTCGTTATCTCTATGTCGAACGAAGAACTTTGTTCGCCTTGTTTCCAAATTAATTGTTGGAATATTACTATTTATTATGCATATTGTTTGCTGTTACTGTTATTATCACTGATATCAATTCTCAGGATATCATTAAGAAATTATAACTCATATCATCTGCATGTAATACAATATATGTGTAGGTAAAATCATGTGAATTTCTCTGAAATTTATTAGTATCAACACGAAAGAGAAATCATAAACTCGACGCCGATCCTTCATGCAGATAAGACAATCAATTTTGATTTATAGGCTCGCTACTTATATGATTGTCAGCAATTAAGAATAATGATCTTACATTAATTTAAAGTATAAATTCAAACGCACGTTTGATTTTATCATATCTTTGTTTTCTCTCATCTCCATCAGATACTGTTCTTACAAACGTATTTTGTTACTCTACAGCCAGCTTCTTCAACAATTTATTTTGCGCTTCATTATGCTTTAACATCGAATTCAACATGGATATTGAATTTGTGTCTTCGTTTTGAGTCTTTCATTTTTAACAATATTATTGATCCAATGTATCGATTCCATTCTAAATAATACAGACGATAACTGAATTGTGACGATTAGACAATTTATGTCTCTGCCTTTTCGGCTTAATATTTGAATCTTTTAAATGTTCAGTTTATACGCTCGGTTTTGCGTTCACTATCCCGTAGCATGCTAGACGAGTGCACACGTGCGTTCATTCCATATGCATATGAAAACAGTTCCGCGGTTTTGGATCGACAATCGGGTCGAAGAGATTCGCTTCCGATATTGTTTTCAATATACCGATCATTTAGGAAAAGCTGGATCAAATTTTCCTTATTTACAAGTAGATGGTGAATTTTTATATAGCGTATTTATAATGCAAGCTTTGTATTATAAATTTTGTATCATTTCATATTATTTTATATCACAAGTACATATTATTTTATATCACAAGTGAAACTCATATAATATAAAAAAATAGAGAAAATATCTAAAAGCTATTATATTTTTATGATATTTAGTACTTACGTAAGACAATTTTCTGCTATGGTTCAATTGCTTTAATTACACCCTTCAAAATTCAGCAGTTTATTCACAAACTTACATAATAACAACTTTCTTGTTAGAAAACTTGTTTTCTCTGATATGAGTGATTTTTTAAGAAAAGTAATTGTAGTCTAGATTTTGTAAGGCGAATAGTATAGATTTGGAGACAAAAGATAATCCTAAATGTGAAATATTTAAACAATTGTCAACTTTTTCTGCACATATAAATTCATCTTTCTCATTTGTGTTGTTAGTAATATTTTAACATCTTCAATGAAAAACCTCAACTTATGCTATCAAACTTCCAAATAAAGCACTAACAATACCAGCAAAAGCATTAAAGAAAAAAATCAGACCACAAAGGAAATCAACGCACTTACTTCTTTTCCTGAGAACCAGTTCCGCCATCCACTCGACCCGCGACGCAGGTTATGTACACGTTCGAACGCTCATCACCCGTACGGAGGTTTAATTGAATTATAATTCGCCAGCGACGTCGGTATGTTTCGTGTTTGCTGATAATTAACACGGTCGGCCAGTCTGTAGTTACTTTCTTGGAATACGGTCCCCTGTAACGAAGCGTTCAGCGTTAACGAAGCGTTAAAGCGAGCCAGCTGCGTTCGACTAACGCAAGGAATAAACAGGCGGAATACAAAGCGTGTAATTACCAGGTGATCATTCCTAATAACAGAATAACGCGTCCGTACGATCGTACGTCCGTCTATCGAAACGTCGGCATCCCAGCCAGGAAGATGAAAGTCAACGATTCGCGCGATTCAATCGAGGAAATCGTAATTCTCGATTCTTCTTCGTCGCCGCCTTTTAGTTCTTCGTCTTTCGCAGTTTGTCGCTCTTTCCGCGATATTGGAGAGACACAGCTGGCGGCTCGTATATCCCATCGTGTGCACGTAGGTACGTACGTGCGCACTGTCTATAATCTTCGCGGTGGTACGGGGGGAATTTTTTATTTCGCGCGCTTGTGATGACACCCACATGGTCTCCTAGAGCCGCTTCGCGCGATTCGCATAAAAGCCACCACCAATCTATATGGACGCAACCTTTCTCTTCTCGTGTGTGTTAATCAATCTGCTACCTACGCTTTCAATTATGTAACAACGGCATTACTCGGCGTCCGAGGAAATTCAGAAAGGACGGTTTCGAGGCTGGGGCGTGCACTCGAATCTTCTAACCTCTCTTCCCACCGAATGTGATTCTCGTTGATTCTCGCTTATATTAATTTAGTGATTCGCTTATTTACTCGTCTAACCTCGTTTAATTGTCTTGCGATTCTTCTCGAGACACGTTACTTCTCGTTCACTTGCCACAACTGGAAAAATTTTTCGAATTATCAATAGGTTAACAATAGTTCACAAAACAATAGGAAAATTGCCGCGGTATTCGAATTACGAAAATCTTATTCATTTATCTTCGTAATTTGACCGGTAGAGGGCAATTATGTCGCTCATTTGCGATACTGTACTTATTAGTATATTCCATGAAGATGTCGCCTATGAATTTCGCTCCGTGTGTCAGTGGCAAACAAGTGCGCATTAATCAAGTGAAAAGTGTATCATTTTGAACCGCGTCATTTCTTTTTTGATTTTCTAAAGGAAAGAGGAAAAGATTGACGAAATAATTTCGAATTCTGTCGGAAAATTATTTTTTACTTTCGGGCACAAGCATAGCCTTCAAATTCTATCATTTTTGTTGTGACTGAGCGATTCGTACTTACCTCGTTACATCGTTGGAAGCAAAATGTTGAAAAATTATATGTGATTTGTTTTTCAATAATGTAGTCTTGCAATTCGAAAATAAAATGAAGATAAAAAATTGAACGAAGTTTTGTGATTCCGTAGGAGTGCGTGAAACAAACTGACTGATGAAAAAATGGCGGTCGTTTCTAATGCGTTTCGGCGGGTAACCAGAGCAAGGGATGCCGGGAAAAATCTTGCAAACGTCGTCCAAACTGTAGTGGAGCAAGGGATGCCGGGAAAAATCTTGCAAACATCGTTCAAACTGTAATAGAGCAAGGAATGCCGGGAAAAATCTTGCAAACGTCGTCTAAACTGTAATAGAGCAAGGGATGTCGGGAAAATTCTTGCAAACGTCGTTCGAAGTCCTGCGTAACAAACAGTAGCTGAAGGTAATTATTATTATTATTATTGTTATTATTACTGATATTATATTACAAATTGACATTATAATAAATTGACATTATGTTTAATACAAAGGCATAGTAAATGGAGAATACAATTACAAATATCCATGTAATTGTTGAATGTTAAGGTTAAGTATCACATTTTGAAATTTAATTTTATATAACTATCTATTGTTGCACTGTCGTATATCATCAATGTGCCATTAGGAAAATATCAAATGACTTATTTATAATAATTACTATATTTTCCAGATTTCCAATTGGAATGGACTGTCAGAATTAACTGTGATCCTTCTCTTTTACGAGTAAATGAAATTATTGTTAATTGCAGCAGGAGAATTGAGAATAAATCTATTAAATAAATGCTGTGAGACATCGTTGATTTTAAGAATTCAAGAATTAAACGGAGATCTTTCATAATCATTTCAACTGGTCAGAAGAATTGACGTTCTATTTATAATTATGATCTGGAATCGATATTCTGGTAAGCATCATTTATCGTGTAAATAATTTGTTGGAAAATACCGTACCGCTAGTGGGAATTTCAATGATGCGACATTCGCGACGGGAATCACTTCGATTGATTGGAATCGATTTTCTCAGTATCCGAACGACGGTTCGGCCGAGGGAATTACCAAGAATGACGGCATGGTATTTGAAAACACGTGTACCAATAGACGTACTAAAAGACAAATAAATATAATAGAGATTCAATGTAACGGAATGAATAAACTTTCGACGTAAATTTTGGTGTAAAGTGTATCTGGTCTTACATACAACAATCAAATTGTCGACAACAATCGAATATGTGGGCCAGACACGCTCCTGCGATCGCATAATAGTTGTAGTAGAAATAGGTCATACATGTTCACACTATCGGGCGGATGCGAAAAATTTTACTTTTAAATAATTGACCTGAGACGTGGTTTCCTTTTTATATACAGAAAGCCACGCATGTTATGACAACACGAAAGAAAAAAAATAGCAAAAATAGGGAATATGCTGCAACGTATGTCGAATAAATTTCATTTTCTAGTATTCTATATCTAACCGTTATATTTTATATTCTATATATAATAATATTTTAACAACTTGTGGAATATTTTTTTTCTTTTGACAATTAATCTTCTCATTTTTCAATTGAAAAATGTGCAAAACGTAATACAACTTTCGTCCATTGATAAAAATGCCCAAAGTTACTAGAATCGAACGTTTTTACCAAGTAGATCGAACCCGAAAAATTGTAATACCGCTCAGAACCGCGGTTCCCTGATGGTCGAGCGATGGCGCAGAGATGCCGCCTATGCACGGGCGTATCCACGAGGCCGCATTCGCGCGAGGGGAAGACCGGACGAAGCGAAACAGCCTGCGAGAAGGCCGCGTCGAGAGCGAGAGAACAGCGAACGGATCGACAAAGCCAGAGCCTAGACGTGGAGACTGAAGAAGAGAGGGAGAAAGAAAGAAAGACAGACCGCAGCGTAATAAGAAGGGGGCGAAGAGATGCGACAAAGACCGCGCAGAGTATCCTCCACGCCGTCGTTACGTCCGTGCACACACGTGAACATACCTGTGCGACGTCGGTGTAGATCAGGTCGCGAATCCGCGGCGCGGTCGCGGCAGAGAAACATAGAAAGCCAGGGCGCCGCCACTGGGTGCTGTGAGTGAGTGTGGCCGGCGCGCGGTGGTTCGGCCTGGGCCGAGTCGAGTCGAGCGGAGTCGAGGGGAGTCGATCGGAGTCGAGTCGACTCGACTCGAGTCGCAAGTCACCTCCGCTCACCTCACGGCGCACTCGACTTCAGTCCGCGCTCGAGTCGTGCACCACGGAACACGCGAGAGTTAGCCGGGGCCGGCTGCCGCGATCGAGTTGGACGCACGCGCTCGACCAGCCAATCGACCAGAGATCAACGATAGACAGGACCACCGCACGTTCCGTGCCTGGATCGCGTTGACCGTCGATCGATCGACGTTTAAATTAGAACGAACTAGGAAATTCTAATTGGAAATTTGAATTACTTTTGGGAGTACGCGTGAGATAGATATACAAAGAAAGAGAGAGGGGGAGAGAGAGAGAGAGAGAGAGAAACTGGAAAGAAAAAAAAAACGCTAGAAAAGAGATTTTCGTCGGGACGGAGAATTCTCGATGGAAGAATTCGAATAGTGGCGTGAATCTCACGCTAAAAATCAACGCATAACGCGCTTAAAATCACCGACCGCCGTTGTATTATGTCACACTCCCACGCGAGCGACGGCCGCCGCTGCCGGCACGACGGTGAACCGAGCCAACGTCGTCGTCGTTTGACATTTCCACGAGCGCGGAGCAGTTAACGCGAATCACGGGTGTTCGTGCGACCGTTCATGCCGCTATTTTGTGCACGCATCGGCCGAGCCAGTGTTGTGCTACGTCGCGATCACATCGTCATCTCAGTCATCATTGTCGTCGTCATTGTCGTCATCGTGATCATGGTCAACGGGTGACGAACCAGCCGTTCGTAGTCGTGATACTATATATATATATAAGCGAGCGATTTCCACGAGAATCTCGTTATCAGGCTCTCAGCGACTTACCTGGTGACTTATTACTCGCGATCGGTCCTGGCGTTTCCTACACGCCGTCCGTGTACGTGAGTACGTATACGAGCGCATGACACACGCGGCTGTCGATCGTAAACGCTCGCCGATCGCTTCACGGAATCGTGAAAGAGATCGTCGACGCTCGATACGGTACAAGACTTCGTTGGTGTTCCTTTCGAATCAGCCAGTGCAATTCATCGAGACAATTGTGGGAAATTAGAAGATCCCGAAGTGAATCGACGAGAAGATTAAACGTGTATCATCCGAGGAGCACCCAGGAGACTATAAGGTAACGCAACACAATTGGGTTGAAATTTGGCGCCCGTTTCACTTTGGCGACGGAGATTTGATCGATGCGAGGGGACACGCGCGATGTGTCCGTCGTATCGGTGGTCGAAAGGATGATGGATGATCGATGAAGGATTATGTCTGTCCGAAGCCGGGTGCAAACGGCCGATACGTACTTGTTGCATTCGATCTTGCATTCGTGTACGATTCGGTATCAAGTTTATGTATTTGTAACCCTTGAATGGATTTACAATTTGGAATTCATGAATATAGAGAAACAAATTTTCCTTTGCAAAATTGAAAATATAACGAAATAATAGATTGTGTAAGTTTTCAAGTAACGACATCAACATATAATATAATCATTGATTTAAAATTGACCTGGAGCACAACAATCCTAACGATCCATTTAAGGGTTACCACTATTGACTATCATGCGTTTATGCGTTTTATCCATCGGATACCAACCAAAATATTTAATTTTATAGAATGAAAGCACTCTCATTCTCATATTACTTAATACTTTTCGTCAATGATGTTTATTTAATTTTAATCGTCAATCACACGCACATAGGTACGTTATTGAAGTAGCAAAGCAAAGCTACTGAACAGTGGCAGTGTCAAACTCTGAATTTCGCAGAACTGCGACATACAGTGTCACAATTACGAAATCCCACGAAATCGTGTCGCTGATCCGCGCTAGATCGAAATTTCGCGTCCAAGTCCGCGGCCGCGACCCGGGTCGTGACTCGGGGCTATGAAATCGGTAATGAGCTGTAAATCTCGAAGGCGAGCTGTGCACGTTAACGCCGGGCCGCGCATGTGAGTCAGAGACGCTGCGCGAGGGCAGCGGGACGATACCGTCGATACACACAGGCCCAGCATCCAAGCCGAGTAATTCTTTTCCCTTACGGTAGGAAATCGAAGGAAAGGATAATAAGCGAGAAATACACTCTCTCTTAGCCGGCGGCCGGTTTCGTCGTAGCGGCGCGCGTGGGTGTGCAAAAGGGAAAGAGACGAGGTGGTGGAGGAGGGGGCGGGAGGGCGAGAGGGAACGCGCGCGCTTCGAGTCGATTTTTCGAAAATCCAGCGTGAAACCTTCGTTAACGGGTGATCCGAGAGTCGATAACCGAGTTCGTGCGGCGATCGATCGGCCGATCGATATCCGGCCGATCTCCATCGGGGCTTCGTGTGTCGAAAATCGAAACGGCAACGAGCTGTTTAGCTTCGCGTTTAGAAGATTGTGTCTGACTGATCCTTTTTTTTTTTTACGTACTTTTTTTAATCTATACTATGTTCGTTTCATCCTTTATATCCTTACGGTACGTAAAAAAAGTGTCGGTGTTTAAAAAGACGTGGGAATTCGTGAGTTGCTAACGAAAATATTTGTACGTATTGTATGGCATTGCATCGTATTTTTTCCGATTTGCCATATTTAACGCAATGTAGTAGTCTCTTTTGTCTGAATCTCTAGAATGTTATATCATTAAAATAGAATGTCCTATAGCAGATGGTCTCTCTTCTGTAATATTCGAATGTTTAGCGAGCGATGATAGAAAAATTTAAAAATAGGCCATAGGTAACTGAATTCTGGACAGACATTCTGTCGAGCTGACTTTCATTCCATAAGCGGTTACATATTGTAAAAATTTTGGTGTCGTTTAGTCTGTCAGTGGTTTGAGTCTCTATCGCGTAGCAAGGATTTCTAGACCAGTTCGCTGAATTCGATCTTTCCTTCGCGTGGGTGTTGCTTATTAGAGTTAGGTATATAGATGTTCTCGAGCGTGCGAGTTCGATACGAGGGTGAAATTAACATTTGATAGCAATAAAGAAAGTGGGTCTTGTAAAGGTTTATCGTTCGGTGATTGATCTTTCTTTTCGATAATTGAACCGAGGAAGGTAAATGTTACGAGTAACTGCACTCAGTTGTTTATCTATATAAATTGTTTAATCTTGGAGAACTCCTCAAGAGAGAGGGACGAACCACAAAAGTCAGCAGGAAATTCTCAAAATTTCCTTTATTTATCGTCATCATATACATTCAACTTTGATATTCAACAGATAGAAAAAGCATTTCTAGTGTCGTGATTTAATAATTTACAATAAGAAGTATTCGTATCATTCTCTCGCAATTGGCAATTTCGAGCGATTTATATCTTCTTACAATACAACACAAATTTCAAAATGCATTCGAAATCAGTGAGAATGTTAATGAATCTGAATTATATATACATACTGTCATTGAAAAGAATTTTAAAAATATATATTGCAAAACAATGTCAGTCGTTGTTAATGATAGTGAGTGATAATGTCTGTCAATTTCGGCGCTATCTCTTCGTATAAACTGGATGATAAGAAATAGAGAAAGGCAATGTTGGTAGAGTTCGATGAAAAAATGGCATAACCGAATGACAGTTACTCGGGCGAGATCTGCCGAGTTTAATATACTAAGTTAATGCAAAATAAGAGTGCTAAGTTTGATGTGAATACTAAATTTAATACCATAATTTTGTCCATCTGTGGCAGCTAACGAACAACAACGAACCTGACGACTTTATTTTCGACTTGTGTTGTTATTCCAGTTAGAGTTAGAGCTCTACAAGTTTCTGAAAGGCACAGATAAATAATTTAGGGAGTGATTCCGCAAAAACAATCGTAAATAAACGTTCAAGGCGAATGAATCAGCGAAGCTATGCAAAAAGATACAAAATCTAGATATAAACATTGTATGTACAACATCTACGCTTTATTTAATAATCACTCAGGGTCGAAGATATTAAAGAATATTTCTGCAACTCAGCTTCAGTTTTACTTGCTTCATTTTGTAAGGAGAAAGTGTCTAGGAAGAAGTATATTGAAACTCATTGTCAGTGTAGTTGTCAAGCGTTTGTTTAAAGAATAAAAATTTCATTGAGTCTGTACAAAATCGATCGGCGAGACAAGGTATCGATACGCAGGGACACTCGTGACTCGAGGACGAAGGTTAAATCGTTACAGTATCGTTTTTTTACCTGCGTAGTTCCGAAATTACGTTTCCACGTTATGAAACATCATGCGTAGAGTGTTCTATGATCTTCAGAAACATTATCATCATCTACCAAGGCTAAAAGGTATGCACAGTCCTCCAGTTAGTTATTACTGCTTCATTTTCAGCTTCATGCTGAATCGCATAATCTCCGCGTGTCGTCAAAGTCCGGCTTCGCGTTGAAATTTTCTGTCATCGATTTTTAATACGCACTCCTTCTTTCATTTTCTACAAATCGATTTCAACGTGTAATTTCTCGTCGATGTGTTAAACTATAGATATTCTGATAATATAGATGTTGAACATGGATATTACTTCGTGCGAATGGATTTAAATTTACAAATTTTCGTCGAAACATTACAATTAAATCATAATTCGAATAATTGAAAACTACAAAAGAAAAATGTGATAAGTCACACTTTCTATTTTTTTTTTTTAAATTTGTTACGTTTGTTAAAATTGTTGTTTCAATCTCTTCAAAATTACTGTTTGTCCAAAATACTGGTTTTAATAATTATCAGCTGAAAAATATAGCTTGTATCTTTAGATAGTAGATTGCTTCCATCTTCAATTATATATATCGTATTAAAATTGTTTCTTAATCGTAATAAATTGAGTATTTGAGAGTACAATATAATATACATAATATACATTTGAGAATGTAATTAAAAAAGATAGAACCTCGGTGGAGAATTATTTTGCATACTAAATATTGTGTACTAAGTAATTATTTGAATGTCTACACTCTCTGCAATTTTGCACTTGGAAATTTCCTGCAAATGAATAGAAATCCGCAATCTAGTCTGAACATAATTTCATCCGCCGGAGAGTGCAATATAATATACATAATATACATTTGAGAATGTAATTAAAAAAAAAAAAATTAGAACTTCGGTGGAGAATTATTTTTCATACTTCAAATATTATACTGAGCAATATTATTTGAATGTGTACACTCTCTGCAATTTTGCACTTGGAAATTTCCTGCAAATGAATAGAAATCCGCAATCTAGTCTGAACATTATTCTATCCGCCGGAGAAGCATATTTCCTTGTGCAAAGTTGTTCCAAGAATGCCGCAAACTTTTGAACAGTTGATCTATCTCGCCGAAGCGCTAAATACACTCGCGTTAACGCGCTGCAATTTCACACTCGGTGTACAACTTGAAAACGATAACGAGGTACGATCTTGATAAAGCACGGTAAGCAAGATTTGCGTTATTAACCAATAATTGATAAATCACGATTGACAATGGACGTTTCTTCAAAGGTGCATCGGCTAATCTTCCCACATTCGTCGTCACGTTGCCGTGTGGACGTGTTGGCCGATGGCCACGTTCTTTCGAATTTTACCGGTGCATAATAAATCGGAACTTGCGCCATCGGGACGTGCCCTCGTCATATGAAATCGAACGACCTCGTCGTCGTTCGACGTCGTAACAGTCTAGCCGATAATACACGGCGATTCGAGAGGTCAGGTCGGATTCGATGGTCTCTACCAACCTAAGGAGGAGGTAAAACGCGTCGTCTAGCTAGCCACATTGAGCGTGTCCGTCGCACGAATAACGCTACAACGAGGCCGCAAATCGAGTTTGGAAAAAATTTCTCACGTTACACGATTCTTCTTTATTAAATTTCATTTCAAAATTTCGCGGAGTTTGAGCGTCGAGATCGAACGACATCATTGTAACAGACAATGTATCGTACAACGTAAGGTGTGTATAGTGTTTGAGACGTGACGTTGCTTGTAATGTATTTAATGTCGTATAGAGTGATTTCTTATTTCTTTTTCTCTCTTTTTTTTTTTTGTTTTTTTTGCACGAAAAACTTGGAGAGTTTGAACGAAGCGATTTGTTTTAGATTTAGGTAAAACGCCAGGTTGGAAATTTAACTTATAAATTGACATGATTGGAATGGATATGTGATGCATATACTATAGTAATTTATTCCCTGCGTTGGAGATATTTCAGGTAGATA